ACCCCATAAAACCCCATTGAAGCTCACAGAGCCCCATAAAACCCCATGAAACCCCACAGAGCCCCATAAAAACCCCACAGAGCCCCATAAAACCCCATAGAACCTCCTAAACCGCCATTAAAAGCCACGGAGACCCCATAAAACCCCATTAAACCCCATAAAGCCCCACAGAACCCCACAGAGACCCCATAAAACCCCACAGAACCTCATAGAACCCCACAAACTGTCACTAAACCCCACGGAGACCCCATAAAACCCCATGAACCCCCACAAAACCCCACAGGACCCCATAAAACCCCACAGCACCCCATAAAATCCCACAGCACCCCATTAAAACCCACAGAACCCCACAGAGACCCCATAAAACCCCACAAACCCCCACAGAACCCCACAAAACCTCATAGAACCCAACAGAAACCCACAAAACCCCACAAAACCCCACAGAGAACCCACACAGGCCACCCATTAAACCCCCCAAAACCCCACAAACTGCCATAAACCCCTACAGAGACCCCATAAAAACCTACAGAGCCCCACAAAACCCCATAGAACTGCACAAAACCCCACAGAGACCCCATAAAACCCCATAGAACCCCATAAAACCTCATAAGAACCCCATAAAACCCCACAGAGACCCCATAAAATCCCAGAAAACCCCTAAAACCCCACAGAGATCCCATAAAACCCCACAGAGACCCCATTGAAGCTCAAAGAACCCCATAAAACCCCACAAAAACCCTATAAAACCCCACAGAGACCCCATAAAACCCCACAGAGACCCCACAAATCCCCACCGCTCGCCGCCGCTTTTAGGGTCGCCCCGGCTGCCGTCCCGAAGCTCAGCAGGCAGAGCAGCGCCGCCGCCATCTTGGTAAAGTCACAAATAGGGACAGGATGTGACGTCACTTATGGGGGCCGTGGGCCGTGACGGGACGGAGGGGTCCCTAGGGAGCCTACAGGTGCCGCCGAGGGCCAAAAAGCCCCAGCGTGTCAACGGCCGCGTTTCCTGAACCCGTTGCAACCCCATAAGACCTCGTCCCCATTTCCTGACCCCATGGCCACCCCATAAGACCCCATTGCCACCCCATAAGACCTCGTCCCCATTACCTGACCCCATGGCCACCCCATAAGACCCCATTGCCACCCCATAAGACCTCGTCCCCATTACCTGACCCCATGGCCACCCCATAAGACCCCATTGCCACCCCATAAGATCTTGACCCCATATCCTGAGCCCATGGCCACCCCATAACACCTTATCCCCATTTCCTGACCCCATTGCCACCCCATAAGATCTTGTTCCCATATCCTGACCCCACTGCCACCCCATAAGACCTCGACCCCATTCCCCGACCCCACTGCCACCCCATAAGACCACAAACAACACAGGCAGCCTTTTAGGGTCGTTTATTGTCACTCTGTCCCGCTCCCGACCCCATAACCTCCCCCTACCCCCCCCATGGGCCTTTACGGGGTTTTTATGGGGTTGCTGTGGGGTATTGATGTCCCCCCACCCCAAAGTGAGACCCCACAGATATGGGGTGGGAATTAAGGGGGGGGTGGGGGAACTTATAGGGGAAAGGGGAAACTGTGGGGTCAGTGGGGGAAATGGGGGCATTGGGGTCAATGGGGTCAGTAGGGGAAATGGGGTCAATGGGGGAAATGGGGTCACAATGGGGCACAATGGGGTCAGTAGGGGAAATGGGGACATTGGGGTCAGTGGGGTCACAATGGGGTCACATTGGGGTTAATGGGGACACAATGGGGTCAATATGGGGTCCATGGGGACAATGGGGTCACAATAGGGACAAGGGGGTCAATGGGGCAACAATAGGGTCACAGTGGGGTCAATGGGGTCACAATAGGGTCACAGTGGGGTCAATGGGGTCACAATGAGGTCAATATGGGGTCAGTGGGGGAAATGGGGTCGCAGTGGGGACAGTGGGGTCAATGAGGTCCATATGGGGTCAGTGGGGTCAATAGGGACACTGGGGTCACAATGGGGTCAATGGGGTCACAGTGGGGTCACTGGGTTCACAGTGGGGCAGAATGGGGGTCAGTGGGGTCACAGCTGAGGTAGCTCAGGACGGTGCCATGTGACCCCAGCCCAAGCCGGGACAGGAAGTGGCATCAGTAGTGACAGGAAGTGGCGTCAGTAGTGACAGGAAGTGGCGTTGGGGGCATCAGGAAGCAACATCAGTAGTGACAGGAAGTGGTGTCAATAGCAGCAGGAAGTGATGTCTGCAGTGCCAGGAAGTGACATCAGTGGCAACAGGAAATGATGTCAGTAGGTACAGGAAGTGATGTCAGTAGTGCCAAGAAGTGGCATTGGTGGCGACAGGAAGTGGCGTCAATAAAAGCAGGAAATGACCTCAATAGTGCCAGGAAAAGATGGCGGTAGAGACAGGAAGTGACATCAGTAGTAACAGGAAGTGACATCAGTAGTGCCAGGAAGTGGCGTCACTGGCAACAGGAAGTGACGCCAGTAGTGACAGGAAGTGATGTAACAGGAAATGATATGAAGAGAGACATGAAGTGGTGCGATTACAGACAAGAAGTGACATCAATAGCAGCAGGAAGTGACGTCAGCAGTGACAGGAAGTGGTGTCAATAGTGACAATAACAATAGGAAGTGATGTCAGTAGAGGCGAGCGATGTCAGCATTGACTGGAAGGCACTTCAAGAGCCTCAGGAAGTGACGTCATTAGTGACAGGAAGTGACGTCAGCATCAGGAAGTGACGTCAGCAGCAACAGGAAGTGCTGTCAGTATAGACAGGAAGTGCCCAACCTAACCACATGCACCCTCCGAATAGAAAGAGGGTGGGGCTAAGGCACGGCAAAGGCCAATCAGCAGCAAGAGGGGTGGAACCAAAGGCACAGCACCGGCCAATCAGCAGCGAGGAGGGGGGCGGGGCTCAGCCGGCAGCCACTGAAGCAGCGATGATGGCGATGAGGATAACGAGGGTGAGGACGAGGCAGGCAGCCATAATGAGGCGTTTCTGGGGGATTGAGGAGGGATTATGGGGGATAAATAGAGATTATGAGGGATTATGGGGGATTAAGGGAGGATTATAAGGGACTAATAGGGATTATGGGGGATTAATGGGGATTGTGGGGGATTATGTGGGATTAAGGAAAAAATAGGGGGCATTAATAGGGATTATGGGGCATTAATAGGGATTATGGGGGATGAAAGGGAGATTAAGGAGGAACTGTGGGGGATTAATGAGAAATTATGCGGGATTAAAGAAGGATTATGGGGGATTATGGGGGACTAATAGGGATTATAGGTGAGAAATCATGGATTAATGAAAGGTTATAAGGGATTAATGGGGATTCCGGGGGATTAAGGATGGATTATGGGGAATTAATGGGGGATTATGGGGCATTAATAGGAATTCTGAGGGATTATGAGGGGATTATGAGGGATTATGCAGAATTAATAGGAGTTATGGGGAAATAATGAGGGATTAAAAGGGGTTTATGGGGGGTTTATGAGAAATTATGGGGCACCAATAGAAATTAAGGGGGATTAGTGAAGGATTAATGAGGGATTATGGGGGATTAATGGGGATTATGGGGATTATTGAGCATTAATAAGGGATTATGGGGGATTATGAGGGGATTAAAAGGAATTATGGGGGATTAATGAGGGATTATGGGAGACTAATAGGGATTATGCGAGATTAATAGGGATTATGGGGGATTAAGAACGGATTTTGGGGACTAATGGGGATTATTAGGGATTAATGGGGATTATTGGGATTAAGGATTAATAGGGATTATGAGGGATTAATGGGGATTAAGGGAGATTAAGGAAGGGTTATGGGGGATTAATTAGGGATTATGAGGGATTATGGGGGATTATGGGGGATTAATGGAGATTATGAGGGTTTAATGAGGATTATAAGGAATAAAGGATTATGGGAGATTTATGAGGGATTATGGGGAACTAATGAAGGATTAAAAGGGAATTATGGGGGGATTATGGGGACTATGGGGGACTAATGGGAATTATGGGGAATTAATGTGGGATTAATGAGGGACTATGGGGATTAAGGGGAATTATGGAGCATTAATAGGGATTATAAGGGATTATGATGGGATTATGGGGGATTTAGGGGGATCATGGGGGACTAATAGGAATTATGGGAAACTAAGGGGGGATAAATAGTGATAATGGGGGATTAATGGGGATTAAGGAGGGATTATGAGGTTTATGGGCAATTAAGGAAGGATTATGGGGGATTAATGAGGGATTATGGGGCATTAATAAGGATTATGGGGATTAAAAGGCGATTAAGGAGGAATTAGGGAGGATTAAGTAGGACTAAGGAAAATTATGGGAGATTAATAGGGATTATTGGGGATTCTGGAGGATTAAGGAAAGATTATAGGGGATTAATAGGGATTATTGGGAATTAAAGGGGATTATGGGGCATTAAAGGGCAGTAATGAAGGAATTATGGAGGATTAAGAGTGATTATGGAGGATTATGGGAGATTAATACAAGTTATGGGGTACTAATGAGGGATTATGGGAGATTAATAGGGATTATGGGGGATTAATGAGGGATAATAGAGGATTAATGAGGGATTATGGGGATTAATAGGGATTATGGGGGATAAATGGGGATTATGGGGATTAAAAAGGAATTATGGAGGATTAAGAGTGATTATGGGGGATTATGGGAGATTAATAGGAACTATGAGATATCTATGGGGCAACTATGGGGTGGTCATGGGGCGGCTATGGGGCAGCAGTGCGGTGTCTATGGGGCAGCTATGGGGCAGCAGTGGGGTGGCTATGGGGCAGCAGTTGGGCAGCTATGGGACAGTTATGGGGTATCTATGGGGCAGCCATGTGGCAGCTATGGGGCAGCAGTGAGGTATCTGTGGGGCAGCTATGGGGCAGCAGTGGGGCGGCTGTGGGGCAGCTATGTGTCAGTTATGGGGTGTCTATGGGGCAGCCATGTGGCAGCTATAGGACAGCAGTGAGGTCTCTATGGGGCATCTATGGGGCGTCTATGGGGCAGCTATGGGGCGGCCATGGGGCGGCTATGGGGTGGTTATGGGTTATCTATGGGGTGGCTATGGGGCAGTTATGGGGTCGCTAGAGGGCAGCTATGGGGCAGCTATAGGGCATCTATGGGTCAGCAGTGAGGTATCTATAGGGCAGCTATGGGGCAGCTGTGTGGCAGCCATGGGTCAGCATTGAGGTATCTATGGGGCAGCTATGGGGTGGCTATGGGGCAGCCGTGGGGCAGCTATGGGGTGGCTATGGGTATCTATGGGGCGTCTATGGGGTGTCTATGGGGCGGCTATAGGGTGTCTATGGGGCGGCTATGGGGAAGCCGTGGGGCCGTACCCTCCTGGCCTTGCCCTGCTGCTCCTGCGCCGCCCTGAGCTGCCGCCCCCCTTTGTGCACTGCCGTCCCCGACTGCAGGATGTGCAGCTCGATGCGATTGATGGCCTCACCCTGAAACCAGTACGGACCAGTACAGACCAGTATGGACCAGTACGGACCAGTATGGATGTGTAGAGACCAGTACGGACCAGTAAGGACCAGTCTGCCCCAGTAGAACCCTTTCCCTCCCAGTCCCCTCCCAGTCCATCCCAGTTCCCTCCCAGTATATCCCAGTCCCCTCCCATTATATCCCAGTCCCCTCCCAGTCCATCCCAGTCCCCTCCCATTATATCCCAGTCCCCTCCCAGTCCATCCCAGTTCCCTCCCAGTATATCCCAGTCCCC